GGGTTTAGGGTTTGGGTGTTTGGGTTTAGGGTTTAGGGTTGCTTTAGCTTAGGCCTTCTCTTGGGAGCTGCCGTGCCGCCCATAATGTAGGGGCCTTAATAATTAGAATAGGGTCATAATAGGGTTTTGGCGTCCTTTATCGTACAATGATAAGAAGGAACCCCCAAAATAATATAGGTAATTATTGAAGCACCTAACCCTAAACCCTAAACCCTAAACCCTAAACCCCCAACCCTGCTTGAACCAACGCCCCATTTAGAAAAGTCAGCTTGAGGCCCCGGCCCGGACACTGGCTCGATGAGCGACGTATCCTGAGGCGCCGGGCACAGGGTTTCCCTAGGCCCTACCTTAAGAACCCAAAACCCACTTTTTTGTAGGTTTTTATTATACACCCTAATATGGGATTTATAGGGACCCTACAAAAAAAGTAGGTTTGGGGTTCTTAAGGTACACCCTAAACCCCAAACCTCAAATTCTAAACCCTACCCTGAACCCTAAACCCTACCCTGAACCCTAAACCCTGAACCCCCCAACCCTGAACCCTATGCCCTAAACCCCAAACCCAAACCCTACCCTGAACCCTAAACCCCAGACCCTAAACCCGACCCCAAACCCTGAACCCTAAACCCTAAACCCTACCCTGAACCCTAAACCCTAAACCCCAGACCCTAAACCCGACCCTGAACCCTAAACCCTAAACCCTTAGGGTTTCGGGCTTGATGTCCCCACCCTAGATCCGACACTTTCAAGTCGACGGCCAAGTTTAGGTGAAACCCTCAACCCTAGACCTTGAACCCTGAACCTACAAAAAACAGCGTGTTTGGGACTTACAATCCGCAAACTGCCGTAGACCAAAAATATGGAAAGAGCTGTGCTTAGGATTGATAATCCGTAAACTGAAGTAAACCGTAAACTCGGGTTTGGATCCTCCCTTATCCGCAGAGACACTTTGAACCCCAAGAGCTCTGAAGTTTTCGGTCGTTGGAAGCTAGGTCGGACGTAGAACGGGGTTGCAGGCCCTTTGTTTAGAGCTTAGTTATCATGAAAGAATCAGCGTTGATGGACATTGCGTCGCAAAAAAGGGTTTGCGCGGACGGAAAACCGCCCCTGCTACGTGCCCACATGAGAACGCAAAATCAGCGGGATTATACGACAGCGGCAAACCTGATCGTGAGCGAGAGAGCGAGAGAGCGAGCGAGACAGAGAGAGAG